TGTTTCTCTTTTATATATATATATATATATATATATATATATTCATTGTCTCTATTTGGAAACTTAAAAGCCATAGGTAAATTCGAAGAGAACCCGAAACCACTATCCAAGTCTACACTTCCCTTTTCCATGTCAGGATATCCCGTGCCCAACCGGTATTGCACAGCATTCCAAGCCGGAGCTTGTAAAAAATACTCGCGGTCAACCAAGACGAGTTCAAGCAGCACCATGAAGGTGCGCTCTGCTGTCTTTGTGTTGGCCATTGCGTTGTGCTGCGCTTGCGGGTGCGTGGCAGCCGCGTCGGGGCGCGGTCTCTCCAGCACCGAACTGCTTTCTCAAATTACTCTGGACGGGCAGCCGGTTCTTTCTGGAGCGGTGCCGTCGCTGGGTGAGGGCGGGCTTAGGGTAAGCGGCGTGGTTGCGGACATGGTGAAGCAAGGAGGGGCTATGCCAATAGGCAAAGAAATGTTGGCCAATATTGGTGCTGGCAAAAGCGAGGCGCCACATGCCGGTGGAGAAGCGCACCAAGAGCCACTGGCAAAAGGGGGGGTCGACTTCGTTACGGAGTCCGCCCGGGCCCTGGACAAATTGTCGCTCGACCCTATGCTCAAAGAAAGGCTTCCAACAGCTGAAGACAAGTTGAGGGCAGAAAAGAGGGCCCGGGAGGCGGCGGAGGCGAATAATAAGACTGAAGGCGAAGAAAGCCAGGCGAAAAGGGGCACTGCCAGTGAGGAGGTGGCGCAGACAGCGGCCGAAACCCCGGCGGAAGCCGCAGGGGATACGGACAAATTGTCGCTCGACCCTATGCTCGAAGAAAGGCAGCCAACAGCTGAAGACAAGGCGAGGGCGGAAAAGACGTTTGCGGAGGTAGGGCCCGGTCAAACAGCGGACGGTAGTGCTGGCGTCGCGCGGTCGCTTTCGATGCTGTTTCTTCTTGTGGCAGTGGCGTGTGCCGTCGCTTGGTGAGTGCGGTAGCTCGGTGGGTGTCCTTTTTTTTTTTGTTTTTGTTTTTTTTGCCCCCCGCCGGAGTGAGCCTCCGGTCGTCCGGGGCCGCCCCTCACCCCCTTTTGTGTTTTGGCTGCTTTTTTTTCTATACGCACTAACTTTGCTAATTGGCTATACACCCGCATTTTTCCATACAACGGCGCCCCGCTGCCAGCCAGTCTGGGGGGGGGCTCTTTCTTTTTTTCGCGCGTCTTCGCCCAGGTTCGCGAAAGAGCGGGGGGCGTCGATTCACGGGCCGGGCGCGCGCCGACAACACACGCGCCTGCATCTTTATATGCTGGAAAAAAAACGGTAACTAAAGCAATTTGATTTTTTTTCTTTTTTGCCGTTGCCCGCGCGACCTTCGAGACCGAGAGGGGGGCACGCCATCCCCTAAAAGAAGCGGGGCCGCATGAGCGGCCACCTATACACATTTCTCTTTTTTGCTTTGCGCTTTTGTTTCGCCCC